ACATGCCAGCGTGGGCCAGGAGCACGCACCTGGCCTCAGGGAGAGCAGTGACGTCCTGGTGGTGGTGGGGGGGGGAGCCGCCATGGCCCAGGACACGGGCTCAGCCCAGGAGGGGGCCGGCGCGGGGCGGCGTCGAAGGCCTCGTCCGGCGGGACGCAAGAAAGCAAGGGAATGAGCGGGGTGGGGGGCGGCAGCAGGGTCCTCTCTGAAACGCATCTCCGCCTGAAAACAGGCCCGCGGAGGTTTGCAGCCAAACCTGCTGGGCCGTAAACGACACCTGAGGACTCGGCCTTCGTTTTCGAGGCGCCCCACGCCGGGCAGCGGTCCGCTCCGGCGTTGAGACCCGCGTGCTATTTGCTTTTCAGTCGTCTCTCGAGCTGGCCAGGCGCTTCTCCCCCTGCCGCAGGGAGCGCTGAAGTTAAAACGGGGAGCAAGACACAAGCAATAAATAACTAAGATACCGTATCTACGGTCAAAGCCGGGATCTCCACCCTGCCGCTGGGGGAAGATCAAGGAGTACCTGCACGCTGAAAACGCAAGAAAATAGCGCTTATCAACTCCTTCCATTCGCGGGCTAGTCAATCATATTACTCCAAACAGGCGCGTAGATCAAAGCGCCCGGGAAGGCCTGTCCTGTTTACATTGCCACGGGGCCCCGCAGGCAAGCGCATAGGATCGACACCCCTTTTTGTCCGCTCCGCGGAAAGGGGGAAAAGGTTTGAGTTTCCAGCGCGACGATAACTCCCCCAGACGGCATTTAAACCCCAGGTTTGTCCTTGGCGGGGGGGATCACAGATAGATAGGCACAGCTTCAGGCGCAGCCTCACCCCGCTCCTATCTCTTCTCTTTTATTAAGTTCTCGTCCTTAGGAGGAGCGAGGCCGCTTTGCGATGCCTGCTGCAGAGAGGGCCAAACCAAGGCAGAGGGATGACAAGGCAGAGGATAGATCTTAAAATCCAGGCCTAAAATTGGGGATTTATTTAAGGCTGTCCATGGAACCGTTCTGAGAGACCCCAGGACTCTGGTTTACATTTAGGCCCCTGGACGGTGCAAAGAGCTGCAGAGATTTGCAGAACTTTGCAGCAAAAACCCAACGGATGAGAAAAGCAGTGAAACTGCACCAGCCTTCCAGGGGAAGATGGGGCCTCTGTGTTTCACCGTTAGGGTCAACAGCTTCAAAAGCAAACTCCTTCAGGCCGAGGACCTTGGCGTGCCGTGGAGACCTGCACCACCAAGGCGTGCAAGCGCCCTGAAGTGCCATCAAGGAGGAGCAAATCGTTAAAAGCCGATGGGGAGAAAAATCCTATCCTTCCCATAGGGGAAATGGGGCAGTTCTGTGAATTAGGCAGGGAGTCCGGGAGCTCCTACCGACCAGGGAGATACTGGAGGAGCGTCACCTGTTCACAGAGCTTCAGAGGAGCCACTTTAGGACGCGGACCCACCACTTTGTGTGTAGAGTTGCAAAAAAGTGTGTTTTCCAGGCAGGAATATTCTACTTGCATTTGTACTCCAGCAGCTTTGCACCTCTCAGCCCAGTATCCAGTAGAGATCAGTGTAAACCCTCTGATGCTTCCCAGCCTTACCAGATTGGCTCCTGCCAAAGTAAACCCTTAACTGGCAGGGATGCCCCTGCTGGAAAAAGCTGGGGGAAAAGCAGTAGGTTTCGATACCCACGCAATGGGGGGGGCTTGGCGTTTAGAGCAAGTTTCTCGCCCAGACAGCGAGTGGGTACTCGCACTGGTGCATTGGCGCAGCTGAGCGGACAGGTGAGCCCGCTGCCGGTCATGATCTTTTCCTTATTGGGGTCATGTAGCTTTTTATTCTGCTCGGCAGCAGAGAGCAAAAGGTCAGAGCGGGGAAACGGCCCAGGCCAGACATCGCTACCACCATCAAAGGGGAGTCGGGACCTCCCAGGCAGGAGAGGGATGAGTGCAAGGTGGAGCCCCTTCCACTGGGCAGCTCTGGCAGCACTCAAGAAATTCAAGAAAGGGTTTCTTCAAAAATTTCCATTGGAGCCATCTTCTTACCCCCCTCAAGATGCCTTCCCTAGGAGCATGGTGAAGTACTCGGGGTGGAGCAGCATATACATTGGCCAAGCACCATAAATTTGTTTGCTTTCGGCCCCACGGCTTCTCAGGAGCGATAGCAGCTTTTGTTTCTTATCTCCTCGGCTCTTCTGCCTCCTCTGTGCCTTTGTGTCACGTCTCAGGCGCAGTGATTGAATAAAGTGTATTCGAAAGGCATTTCAAAAGGGCTTTCCACAGCATTTCCAGTCTTCTGGAAATCAGCTCTAGGCTTTCGGGGCATAAATTGGCAAAAACAGGCATGAGGAAGGCGGTACACCAGGCACCCACGTGGGATGGTCCCATGGCTGGGTGCCAGGGGTCGGTAGCTAGCACAAGGATTCAGACAGGCAAACAACCCTGCACGTCACCAGCTACTCACCTTCACCTATCTGGGCAAAAACTACATTTGTCCTGTCTCTCCAGCCACTTAATCCCACCGCCTTTGAACCAAGATCTCGACCGGCATCAGCTGGAAGCAGGGTCGGCCTAAATTAAGACAATTCAAGAGGGATGGTTGCAGCGAGACAGCACCGGTGCAACGGTATTGCACAGGATGGGAATCTCTTCCTTGAGCAAAGGGCCCGTGGGCAAGACCCGCTCTGAGACGAACGGCAGGCAGTGAGCCGGCGCAGGCAGAGGAGGGGGTGGACCTCTCCACCTATATAAGGTGAACCCGCTTGGCCAGGAGCTGCAGAGGCTCTCCCAAGTCCGGGCAGGGTAAGTCGAGCAGGGATTTTACTGCCCTCTCTCACGTTAGCGCGTAGCTCCAGCCGCAGTGCTCTCTGGACGTGCCCTCCATCTGTCCCGGCCCCGGGGCGCTGGGTATTGCCAGGTCCTCTCCGAACGGGAGACAAAGGCATTTTGGTTTCTTCTTCTAGATCCCATCCAGAGATGAAGGATCTCCTTCTGTTTGCCGTGCTGCTGGCATGCGGTAAGTGCCCTCGTCCCAGCGGGCCACGTCAGAGTCTCATTTACACTGGTATAAAAGAAACGGGAACCCACAGGCGGCTTCGTGCACGTTTTGTGGCAATCAGGGACTTATTTAATCTTTGCGGTTTCTCCCCAGTGCTTTGTTTAGCGCTGTCAGAGTCACGAGGTCTCAGTGGCAGTGAGGCTTTTGGACGCCCAGGTCTTTAAGAGCTTTTGTAGCCTCTTTGACGCCTGCTTTTCTGCCTGTGCCAAAGCCAGGGCTGATGCTGGCAATGTGGCGTTGCTGGAGAACGGATGCAAGCGGGGCCCAGCATGTAAAGAGAGTGTTAATACCTTCTAATAGACCAAAAAACAGTTGGAAATATAACCCTTAACCTTTTTTTAGACTCCTTAGAGTACACATGCAGGCTTCCAGAAAGGGGCTTGCACGCCTGACAGCATATATTTCCCGCAACGCCAGAAAGATAGATGCCTTTAATTCCCACGCCCGAAGCAAGCAGCGGCGTTGGTCCCATCCGGGGCAGGCTGCCTCCTTCCTTGCTCCACCCCGCTACCAAGCGTGTCCCTCTGCCCCCCTGCAGAACTGCCGCCTGCGCATGGAAGCGTCTTGGAGTTGAAGCGGATGGTCAAATCCACGACAGGGAGAAGCGCCCTGCTTTCCTACAGCTGGTACGGCTGCTTCTGCGGCATCGGCGGCAGAGGCACCCCCGTGGATGCTACCGACCGGTGAGTACCTGGAGAAGTGCCGCCACTCGCCGGCCCCTCGGGCTGCCACGTCCGAAGCCTAGCGGGCCTGACGCAGTGTCTCCCAAAGGTGCTGCCATGCCCATGATTGCTGCTACCGAACGCTGAGAGAGAGCAAGTGCAGGCCCCTCATCACGCCCTACGAATTCGACATTGCCGAGGGAGACATCATCTGCGGTGAGTACCCAGCCCGTCGGTGGCCCCCGGCACAGCTTCTCCGTCCCTGCGAGCTGCAGTGGTAACCCACCAGCTGTCAGATTTACAGAGACTGAGGCACAAATAGCAGCCAGAGGCTAATAATGTTCGTGCTCTTAGCCCCTGGCAGCTCCACTGCCAGGCCACAGGCGTGGCGCGGCCATGCAAAGCCAACCGCCGCCGTGCCGGAAAAGCAACGGCAGAGCATGACGTTTGTGCCTGCAGGTGATGAGCAGAGCTGGTGCAAGAAGGAGACTTGCCTATGTGACAAGAAGGTGGCTTCGTGCCTCGCGAGTGCTCTGCATTCCTACGACAAATCCTACCGTTTCTATTTCAAACTGAAATGCAGAGGGAGTAAGCTGCAGTGCTGAAGAGGGGCCCGCGGAAGTTTGCAGGTTTTGACTGGCTCTGCCCTTCGCTAAGGAAAGAAA